CGATATGTATGAGCTCTGGGAGTACGAGGTGGCCACATATGAAAAAGGGGGCTTATTTACAGATTTTATAAATAAATTTCTCAAGATGAAGCAGGAAGCTTCGGGATACCCAGAATGGTGTGAGACAGACGAGGATAAGCAAAAATATATCGACGAATATTTCAAGAAGGAGGGTGTCCAACTTGATAAGGATAAAATTTTAAAGAATGGAGGGCTTAGATCGCTGGCCAAATTGATGTTAAACTCATTCTGGGGAAAGTTTGGTCAACGCGAAAACCAGACAAAAGCTATGATTGTTAGGGACGCCAAACGTCTTTTTCAAATGTTAACGAGTCCAGAGATATATGTAATTAGAATACAGATAGTAAGCGAGGAAGTTGTTTTGGTCGGCTGGGAGTATATTGAGGAGATTGGCGAAGCTATGAGAAACACAAACGTAATTATCGCGGGATTCACGACTGCGCAAGCCCGACTTAAGTTGTATGAATATTTAGAAGCTCTGGGAACACAAGTTTTATATTATGACACCGATTCTGTGCTTTTTGTATATCGACGTGGATTGTATAGTGTACCAACAGGTGACTATCTCGGCGAAATGACCAATGAGTTGGTTGAATACGGACCTGGTTCTTATATCGTCGAATTTGTGTCAGGAGGACCAAAAACATATGCTTATCTAGTTTGGTCTACAAATAAACAAGCTCTTGTGTCTGTTTGCAAAATCAAAGGTTTAACATTAAATATGAAAACGTCAAAAAAGATGGGGTTTGAGAGTTTAAAAGAAATGGTTCTCAGTGAGGCTACCAAAACTATTGAGATTGAAGAAAACAGAATACGACGTACAAAAGACAGAGATATCATCACCATTAGCGAAATCAAAAAATTTAAAATCACAGGTCCAAAAAGGAAACATGCTGACAACTATGATACTCTTCCATATGGGTACAAAAAACAAAGACTCACCTAGTATTCTCCTCCTATGCCAGAATCAGTAGACGCATCATCCACTAGAAATATCTCCCATTCATCTCCCCACCAATCAATATCCCCAAACTCACTATCCGAATCACTATCTCCGAAATAATTAAATATAGGATATAATATATAATCTTTAATTAATTCAGTTAGCACTAATGTGAACGCGATCATTTTAGCAACTGATGCGCACATGTCCTCTGGAGCGTTTCTGTTTAGCACATGTTATCCCCACTCTTTAGCTACTTGAGTGTCGTGAAAAAAGTTTAAACCGGGGCTGTACACTTGTGGTTTGTAACTTTTAAATCCAAAATATTTTATCAAACACACGAGCAAAATACGTTTTAAAATAGACGTTGCATAGGTTTCTTCTCTCACAAAATTGAGTGTGTGTGTGTGTGTTTGAGATACAGTGGCCCACTATTAGGCAGCATTAGTAAGCCCTGGTAGGTTGGTTGAGATAAATCCTATAGGTACTCGGTTACCACATGGTCGCCACCTACTAAGGCTGATTGAGTAAGACCTTGTAGGAAAAATGAGCTAAATCCTATAGGTACTCCCATGTGTCACTGTGTATGAGGTCCCTGGCGCAGCCGAAAAAAAAGCTCGTAAACCGTTATTAGTGAGATAATAGTGTGATAGTGTGATTGTGAGGGAAGTCTCTCTCTGCGCGTCATACCAGGGGACACGCGTGTTGTAGGTAATTCCCGACAGCCGGGTCGGAAGGGAGGTAAGAGACCTTCAGTCTGCTTACCACAGCATACAGCGAGGTTGGGGCTGTATGGGTATTGAGTTGTTCAGCTCAATACCAGGGGGACGGAGGCGGCAACTAGCTTTGCGGAGGCCGCCACGTAGCTGCAGCGGTGGAGGGGCTGCAGCATTTCTTTGGGGTAAATCAAAAGACGGCGTATTATTTGTGTCATTATAACAATGGATGTTAGACGTGCAATAGCTGAGGAGCTACATAAGCCAGCTAGAAAAAAATTCCCTAGACGTAAAGTCACTCTTAAAGGGTTAAATGATCTGTATCAGGCAGATCTGGTAGAGATGCAACCATATGCAAAATTAAACAAAGGTCACCGTTATATAATGACTATGATTAATTGTTTATCAAAATTTGCGTTTGCTGTTCCACTGAAAGACAAGTCAGGTCCTGAAGTTGCTAAAGCACTTGATCCAATATTGATGAAACATAAGATGAAAAACTTTCAAACCGATCAAGGAACTGAATTTTTTAATAAGCATGTTAGTGCGTTGATGAAAAAATATAATATCAATCACTATTACACGTTTTCTGAGCTAAAAAGCGTTTTTGTTGAAAGATTGAATCGTAGTTTAAAAGAACGAATGTGGCGGGAATTCACCGCGAGAGGGACATATGAATGGTTAAATATACTCCCAAAAATCGTATCTAATTATAACAACACAGTGCATAGTATAATCGGAATGAAGCCAAAAGATGTAAGACAAAAACACGTGAAAACTATATTACAACGAATTTATAAAAATAAGCCAGTATCGAATAAACAAAAGTTTAAATTAGGTGATAGTGTACGGATAAGTAAGCATAAAAAAGTCTTTACCAAAGGTTATCTACCAAACTGGACAAACGAAGTTTTTAAAATTTACGCAATTAAACCAACGAAACCTATAACATATATCCTTCAAGACCACAATGGTGAAATATTAAAGGGGGGTTTTTATACGCAAGAATTGAATAAATCAAAGACTGGGGATGTATATTTAGTCGAAAAGGTGTTGCAACGTAAGGGTGATAAAGTAAAAGTCCGTTGGCTTGGTTTTGATAAAAAAAATGACACGTGGCTCAGTAAAAATGATATTTTACTGTAGACACACGGTCTCAGTCTTCTTTTGGACGTCATTCAAGCAACATGTCGCAAAATCTGGTTTTTCCCAAATACATTAGATATTGTTGTGACTTAAAATGTTTTATAACACCAGTATGCCATGTTGATGGATTAGCCTGCCACACGTGTGGGTCGTTTGGCTATTGCAGATGTTGCTGTAAAACGTATTACAATCAACAGAAAACCAAATTGGAGTTGATGAAAAAGAAACAAGATCAGCAGTGGTCTCCCGCCTGAGGTATGTATAAATGTTAACATATGTGCAACATAATTAGTCTTTCTTCAGCAATGCGCGTGGCAGTACAGAAACCGCCTCTGGCAATAAGAAACTATGATGAGTATCTCGGTGAGGGGTCATGTTCTAAAATTAAACACGGACCGTTATTCCCCCCATCAATCCGGGCTATTCTTTCAGGACCTAGCAACTCAGGCAAAACGAATATAGTGTTTAATTTATTATTTGATCCAAACGGTCTAGTTTATAAAAACATTTATATATTTTCTAAATCTCTTTACCAACCAAAGTACAAGTTTTTACCCAAAGCATTACCGAAGGAGATTGGATATTTTGCATATGATGACAATGGGCTAGTATTACACCCAAGCAAAGCTGAACCACATTCAATTATGATATTTGATGATATCTCGTGCGAGAAACACGGTAATATCAAAAATTATTTCACAATGGGTCGACATAACGAAATTGATACTTTTTATTTAGGTCAAACTTATAGTGCAATACCCAAACAGTTGATCAGGGACAATGCGAATTTTGTAATACTTTTCAAACAGGATGATATGAACTTGCGACATATATATAACGATCACATTACCACCGACATGTCATTTGATAGGTTTAAACAGTTGTGTGCGCTAGCGTGGAAAGATAGCCACGGGTTCTTAGTGATTGACAAGACTCGAGATCCCGATAAAGGTAGATATCGTATAGGATTTGACAGTTTTATTGAGGAGTTATAATGGTTAACATCTATGCTTACAACGACCTCAGGGGTTATAATACAAAGCTGCATAATGTCAAATCAAATTTGTGTACCTACTACTATTCGAATAAGAAAAAGTTTTGCGGGAATTATTGTAGTAGAAAAGGGCGTCATGGACACAAATTCAATAGGAGGTGTTGGAGACACAAAGTACCCACACAAAGCGCATTATTACCCCCAGTTATCTTGCTAATGATATCTGCTAGTGAACGTATGTATAACCGTGAAATGTGGATTAAGTTTTTGAATAAATGTGAAGAGAAAAAAGTCCCCCTTGAACTGGTAATCTATCACGAAGATATGACTAACTGTACGGTTAGAGAATCTCATAATATGATTTCAAGATATCGCCCGTTTCCTGATATGTTTGGCAATGTTTTACCATTGCGCAACCGTCACGGTAGCATAAACTTTACACAGATATACCTAAGAATGCTTGAGTATGGTTGCAACATTCCACATGCAGCTAGATGTATAGTATTAACTGAACGGTCTCTACCTATACGATCCCCTCTAACAATATACAGAACTGCAATTGTATCAAAATGCCATATTGATGTGAGTTATAATGTTGCGTATGGTCCAGTACCACCTATACCTTCGGGCTCTCGTGGTAAGCCCTATGCTGGTGTAAATAATCTGTGTCAAGGACTATTTACAACGGAATTTTTAAAGGCTGCGTTACCAACTTTACAACAATATAGCAAACACTTTGGAATAAGCTTTAATAACGGTGTATATACGATAACCAACCGTCAGCTGTTTGATCAATGGCGCGAGTTCACGGGTGCAAATCCTAGTGAATTTTGGCTATTAAATTCGTTTTTGTTACATCACAACAAGATGAAACGACCAATATCATTTTTACAGAGATATATGGAAAAAAGTGACAACACTGAGCGGTATACCGTTGCGGAAATACCACAATGGAGAGACGGATGGAAAAGGACATATGTTTTTCGTGATTGGTCGAAAAATTATATTATTCCACAATTTGATACAGTGTCAAAAAGATACTACCGAGATATCGATATTAATTCTGGTATATCTTTGAGAGAAGTGGTGCGCTACTTGCGTAGCCATAAGAAACGTGCATTATTTTTTCGACAGGTTGAATTACCTTAAGAGTCGCAGTGTGTAGAGCTCATTATCAAAGATGACGCGGAAGAATAAACATCTGACCCTGCAAATAGCAGAGTTAAAAGAAGCTGTTAGACGTAAGTTTAGACAGTTTAAAGATGGTAGTGTAGAGAGTGAAAGATTATTAGAAAAGCAATACAAACCATTAATAAGAGAGCTAAAGAATGTGGAACCCAAAACCGAAGTCAAAGTTGAACAGCTTTCTACAGATGAACCGATGGATTATGAGAGTGATGACGATGATTATATTGGTCGACCATTTAAACCAGAAGCTATATCAACGCCTAGAGCTGAAACTAGTCAGTTGGAAGAGGTTGTTTCGTCTCCATCAGGATTTCAAACCGCATCTAAATACATCGAGGAACAATTTCATAACTCATTGACTAAAAAGTATATGACACAGTTTATAAAAGACGTCGGCGGAAAAAATAGAACTATAGACCATGACTATGGTCCACGGTTGGGTGAAAATGGAAAAACGTTGTTGGTTGGGGATAAGGTGGTAGAGTTTGATACTGACGGCACTATTATTATTAACAACACACGATATCCACCTACTGAGGGAATATACGAACTGTTATTTAAAAGACTACCAAACAGTGATGTGTATACACAAGACGACCTAACTACATATAAGAGTATTTTAATCGCGACAAATGCTCACAAAAAAGGTTATGACTTTCACAATCAAATAAGACGAGACAACAATTTAAAATATAGACACGTGATCAAAGATCTGTTTCCCATTAATAAACAGGGTAGAGGAATATCGTGGAAAAGTACAAAGTCTCGCGATATAGTGCATTGGGATAATCCCAACGAATTAGTAGATAGACTTAAACTGTTGGTGGCATCAGCTGAAACTGGTAACACCTCACATGGTAATGAGATTCTTAATATTGTAGAGGAGCTACACGAAGCCGGATATATAAGGGGAGCAGGTAATAGTAGATTTAAGTCACTTTCACAATGGGTATAGACAAGTTCGGACGTTACACAAAAAAGGAAAAGGCTCTCCCAGGGCCAAAAGGGATCGGCTTTGAATTAACAGAAACGGGGGACTTTAATATTCAGGGTAAAAGATTATGCAATGTTGAAGACCCATACGATAGCCTAGATGCGATCAACTTTAAAACTCATTCAAATTCGTTTTTGAATTGTATGACCAAGCAGAGTGGTCATTTTGATGCTCAAAACTCACGTGTATGCAATATGGCTGCACCAATTGACATTCATGATGCTGTATCAAAACAATACGTAGATCTGCACACTCCGTTAAAACTTTCTGACGCAACAGCATATTCAATCCATCAATACAGACTGCAGGATGTTGCTTCGCCGAAAGGAGACGGAGATGCTATTAATTTATCATTTCTTAAGGAAAACGCGATAGTTTTAGGTGAAAATAGATTGTTTGATGCAAAACAGAAGGTTATACATAATGTAGCTTCTCCGGTAAGTGACAAAGATGCTGTAAATCTCGAGTACTTTAATAAGAACGCCTTACAAAAAAATAAAAACGGGGCTTTTGACGTTAAAAACACGGTAATCCAAAACTTGGCACCTCCAATCAAAGGCGGAGATGCTGTAAACAAACAATATATGGACAATCGTTTACCAATACAGGGTACACTTGCATGGAATTTTAAGCATAAACGGTTAGGACAGGTTGCTGATCCATCTCACGTTCACGATGTAATTACTTTACAATATCTACAGGATAATTCTATTTTATTCAAAGATAAAAACTGGGATGTTAGAGGTAAACGGTTAACCAATGTAGGGAATCCACAGGGACTGAGCGATGCTGCGACTAAACAATATGTCAAAGAAGTTGTCGCAGAATTAGCATATACACTGTTCAAACAATTGAATAAGGGAAGGGCTAGTTTCCCTAATTTAGAAGATTGGAATACACGGATTGTCCACGGGACATCCAGCTGGGATGATCTATTTAGAACAACCTAACAAGTGTTAGTGGTCAGTCGTAAAATGGCAGTTAAGAGGAAAACATCCCTCAAACGTAGACGGTCCGTCAAAGGAAGAGGTTTGATATCAACCATTTTGAACAAAGCTATTGATTTGGTACCTTTTGAGGCACATTTACCCGGTTATAACTACTGCGGCATTGGTTCAAATCTTAAAAAAAGACTTGCTAGAGGTGATAAAGGTATCAACGGTTTAGACGAAGCGTGCAAGCAGCACGACATTGTGTATTCACAGTATAAAGACAACGAGCATCGACACCAAGCTGATAAGGAGTTGGCAGAACGGGCTTGGCGTAGATTTAAATCATCAGACGCGTCTTTAGGTGAAAAAGCTGCGGCTTGGACGGTTACAACGGCCATGCGAGCTAAAACCAAATTAGGGGGAGGTAAAAAGAAGAGACGAGTGGTAAAACGTAGGGTGTCTACCAAGGGCAAGGGGTTGTATCTAAGACCGTACCCAAAACATGGGGGTGGTAAGAAGAAAACAAAGAAAAGATGTGGTAAAAAAAAAGCTCGATCCCAATAAAGCCGTTGACTAATTATGATTTACTGTATTATGCTAAAGAACTTCGTATACCGCACTTTAGAGGAGTTTATATGAGAGACGATCTACCTAGATCACCAAAACAAAACGAGTCAGCAATTGTAAACTTGGATACTAGTTTTGGCAACGGTACTCACTGGGTATGCTTCAGAAAAATAAAAGACAATGTATATTATTTTGATAGTTTTGGAAACCTAAAACCCCCGCGTGAACTTTTACAGTATTTTGACGGTTGCAACATCTACTATAACTACGAGAGAAAGCAAAATTTCGATTCAGTTGTTTGTGGGCACTTGTGCTTACAGTTTCTCAGCAATGCTTAGCTTGAGTGGTAGAGGTTCTTATATTTCTAGAGACTATTTCCCACCCATTGACATAAGCGAAGGTGAGTGGGAAATCGGTTTAATTGATTTGATGACATTTCACTCTATTCCAAATATTGAAGCTAATAAAAATAACAAGTTTTACTATGGTCAAGGGAAAATGATTGAAATTGACGAAGGAGCTTATGAGATTGAAGATCTAGAAACTGCTTTAAAAACAAAACTAGGAAAAGATGTGGAATTTGAGTTAAAAGCCAATAATAATACGCTAAAATCTGAAATCAAGTGTAGTCGTATTATTGATTTTACAAAAGACAAAACACTCGCTTCATTACTTGGGTTTGACAATAAAATCTTAGAGCCGGGCGTCAAACATATATCGGATAGAACGGTAAGCATTATTAATGTGAACGTAATAAGGATAGTATGCAGTATAGTTCGAGGATCATACAGTAACGGTTCTGAAGATCATATCATTCATGAGTTCTACCCGAATGTAGGTCCAGGGTATAAAATAGTAGAAACACCAAACACAATCATCTATTTACCTTTGAACGTTAAGAGGATAAACAACATAACAGTCACTCTTCAGGACCAACACGGTGAAAAAATTAACCTAAGGAACGAAAACATATCCATTAGGTTACACATCAGAGAGAAAAATGGGTCTCGTATTTAGAGAGATCACAAAATCTATGCCTGTCAGTAAGCGTCAAGACACTGTACGGTTAACATCAACCAATAAGAAGTTTTTACGCTCATTCGGTTTTAAAGTTCAAGATGTTGGATATAGAAAATAGTGCAGAATATAGTGATGTAATCACAGGTATTGAATTTCACACTCACAAGCCGTATGCTTCATCGACGTTTAAAAATAATGATGAAATACGTATACCTATTAGTCAGCAGGATATCATTACCGCACCATTTGACAGTACGTTGCACATAATCGGCAAGCTTAGCGGAAAAAAACAGGATGGGTCTCCCGCAGAGGTTCAGCTTATAAATAACGCGGCAGCATTTCTTTTTGATGATATTAGATACGAGATTGGCGGTGTGGAAGTTGATAGAATAAAAAATGTGGGAATCACAACTACGATTAAAAATCTATTATCGATACAACAAAGTGAATTAGACGTTTTGAAGAATGCTTGTTGGTTAGGTTCTGGGAAAACAGAGAAAACTACAGAGTTTTCATTTAGTGTTCCTCTGCACATGTTATTAGGGTTTGTTGAGGATTACAAACGTGTAGTCGCTAATGTCAGACAAGAATTAATTCTCTTGCGGGCTTCGACTGACGCAAACGCAATATATAGCACAGATGCTACGCAATACACTTTAGAAATTACAGGTCTGTACTGGAGAGTACCACATATTACCGTATCTGACCCTTATCGATTAAAACTACTGAAAATGATTGAAAAAGATACAAAAGTTCATTTACCATTTAGAACCTGGGAATTACACGAGTATCCAGCTCTACCTCAGACTACTTTACAATCCTGGACTGTAAAAACATCCAGCCAGCTGGAGAAGCCGCGTTACGTAATAGTGGGCTTTCAGACGGGTCGTAAAAACAATGTAAAGAAAGATATGTCTTGTTTTGATGACTGCGATCTGAAAAATATTAAAGTTTATTTAAACTCGCAATACTATCCATACGATAATATTCACGGTGATTTAGCTATATTTTATGAAATGTTTTTTCGTTTCTATTCTTCATACTATGGGAAACATAGCTATCCGGCAGTTGACAAAATAAACTACAAAGAAAAAACACCCTTATACGTAATTGACTGTTCAAAACAAAATGATTCTATAAAAGCCGGTCCAGTCGATGTGCGGGTGGAATTTGAAGCTGGTTCAGCCTTTCCAGCAAATACATCGGCATATTGTTTACTCCTACATGACAGCCACATGACATATTCATTGCTCACCGGTACCGTTAATAAAGTAACTGTGTAGAGGGGGAAAGGTAACCGAAGAAGTGGGAGTTTTGTGTTAGTCTACACGATGTCATCACAGGAAGCAGACGTAAGTGCTACTCCTATACCTAAGGGTAAAGAACCTCTAAACCTACTTACCGGTGTGTTTTTGAAAACAGACTATCATTTAGATAGTGATCTAACAAAATGTGTAGTGACGGGTATATTTAAAAATAGAGACAATAGACTCGGTATTCTATTTAAAGGTAGAAAAGGTTGCGTCTATTGGTCTTATGACGCATTTTGTCAGATTGCGACACAATTTAATGACGTCACCCTAGCACTCGATGGTAAAACTCAATACTCGTTCAAAGTGGATACAGGAGAGGATATACGAGTAAACATGGTTTTTGGTCATCAGTACACTTACGTCTCTGATGGTGAACACTCTATCACTCTTAACCGACACGAATGGTGTATGTTTATTAATAACCTCCCTCTGATTTATATTTCTCTGAGGGAACTGTTTTGCCGCGAAGATTTAATTCGATTGTATATTGATCAAGTCCTATCTGATGTAGAAGAGTGTACTGATCAGCTACCTTCGCTAGTAGCCGAACGATTGTCCGGGGAAATTGCGCTATACAAACGGTGGCCTAATGGCGTTTGCAGTGGTTGAATTTCAAGCTTTTCAAGATAACGATAATAGATTTATAATTAAAGAGTTGGCTGTTGTCGGTGGTTCTTTAAATTGTCAAATTATTTTCAAACCACCTTATGGTGTAGCGAGTTTAAACGATAAAATGCGGAGAACTGCCCGGTGGCTAACACGTCATCACGGTATCCGTTGGGATGATGGTTGTATACCATATAACGAAAGTTTAATTACCGCACTCTGTATCCCGTTTAAAGTTATTTATACCAAAGGGAGAGAAAAGGCAGAGTTTTTACGAGGATTCCATCCTAATGTACGTGAGATAGCAGGACCGTCTATTTCTGATTTGTATATAACCAGTGCAGATTGCATAATGGGTTACCATAAAAAGTGTGCTTTGCGTGCAGCCTGCACTCTACAAAGCTACTTAGACTCATCACTTCATAAAAATGGTCAGTATGAGTTGGAAGATGGAGAACGCTTGGTCGTTGTTGTCTCAGGAGAGCAAGGAGCCTGAAGGCGTTCTAACAGACAAGTTTGTCAC